GTTCGCTATTGAGATATTTACGAAAAAGTCGTGGCTAAGAACTTGTGTACCAACCTAATATGAAGGCGACTCGCGCTCTCAGAAAATTATATTCACCTATCTCGAGGTTCTAGCTGTGAAGAGGCTAGTTAAGGTGGCTACTGAATATGTGCCTCCTCTGCTCCAGTGCTACTCATTCAAACGCACCTCTCAACACCTACTTCTTAACAAGTCGACTAACCTGGTTGATTGTAAGTGAGGCGACAGCGACATCAGCTTTTCCAGTGAGCAAATCACCCATCATACCGTCCCAGCTGCCGTCAGGTAGTTTCGAGCCGGTTTTCTCACCCAGATAAACCTCGAAGTTGAAGCCTTCAATACGATCGGCCAGCAGTTTCAACAGGTCGATACAGTATCCTTCGTACTTGTTGTTGCCTTCGCACTCAGTTCGATTGTTTGGCTGCGCGCATTCGCGTTTTGTCATCACAAACGGCGCTACCTAAATCACAACTGACTTTGAATTTTAACGTGTAGCCTTTTCTTAAACACTGCTCATAAACCTAAACCTTCCACTAGGAACATGGCACCATTCGATGGTGTTTCACACCCGTGTACGATTCAGAACTAGTGTCAAAACTTTGTAGGCAAACTGCACACTCTCCTTCGCGGACTCTGGCCCTTGCCATGAGTGAGATGAATGGGCCCGCAGCTGTATTAGTGTGTCTCATTCTGCGGTCCAAAGTGCACGGAATCGGGGCTGTAAGGTAGTGATATCCGAATACTCCGCCCGCGCTGCTGTACAGCCAGTCACACGCCTAACCATAGCCAGACGCACTAAGCTGTCTGCACACTCCACTTCTAGTTGTTCTCTAGCACTGCGTCTGTTCAGGGAATAAAGTCATAGCTAACTTGGGTGTATATAAGAGCTACCAGCCTAGTTAACGAGTAAAAGTTAATTCTTCAGACATGTCGCTTTAATACACGTTCTAAGACTCTTCCACATAGTAGCACCGAGTGAACTGTGAAGTAAAAGTGAGCTTACCCATACGGTAACGACTCGAACAACGTTCTGATTTCGATTCTCCATTATCATTTCCTGAGGTGTGTTGAGGCCACAGTACGATCAACTGGCGAAAAATCCACAGCGCGTTGCGCTCCATGGCGGGGAAAGGAATCCATACAAGGTGTTGAAATCAGAAAAGTGAAAGCAGTCCTTCAGAAACCCTAGAAGTTCGTTCCTAATGGACTATGTATAGTTATTATTGGAATCACAGTATGGCATCGTTGAGTCAAAGAGAGGTTCGGTACTTGCGGCAGTGAGTCGTAGTGTGTCCGCTGAGGGAGATCCGCATTAACTCGAAAGAAAGTAAGATTAAAAGTAGGGATTTTCACTGCTTCTAATGAAGCATTCTTATATTCCTCTCGACGATCTTGTCTCTGGGAAAGCGGAGAAAAGGAGGTGCGGAGGAATGCGACCTTGGACTTTTACATATCACGACCGTACCTGAGACAGCAAGGGAGTGCAAAGAAGGGGCATTAGTGTTCAACGCATTTCATCCCCATGACGTGCCCTGATTGGCATGCGCTGCCACCAGATGCATGAGCCAGCGAGAAAGCAATGGATTAGATCTGGTCTAAGGTTCCATTTCACGTATATGGCTACTCGATAGAAGACTCCCCTGGGAGGATAATTACGCTACGATGTAGTTCGGCTGGCCCCCCTAAGTCAATTACTGGGCCGAATACCTATTAGAAGGTCGCTGCGCCTTAAAGGCACTTTCCGCAATAAACTAAGGCTATAACCTCTAAATGTGTCAGATGATCCGGTAGGCGATTGTAGAGGTTGCACTGCATTCAAAACTTGGAAAATGGCACGCAAAGCACAGTAAACTTCGATTTTAGGCCCAAGGAGGCCCATGCCGGCCTACCTTGCCCGTGTCGTCGTACTAATGCCGTTGTGCTCTCTCGCCCGTCATTTTCTGGTCTCTCCGCGCTTTGCAGTGTATCGTCACCTTCTGCATATCACTGTTGATCTTGACCATCCTACTCTCGTCCGATGATCATGATCAAGTGCAAGGAGGAGGGTCATATTGAGGACGGTTTTTCATACTTTTTTCTTCACTACTAAGTCAACTAGCACACTTTGCGCTCCTGTTTTGAACTCTGCTA